GTTTGTTAGTTTGCTCAGTTTTGACATTGTCTGACTCCAGAGTGACTTTGCTGAGTTATAATTATATAAAAGAAATGTAAAAGAAAGCAGCAATTATCACAGAAAGGAAATAGTTAACTGGAAGATATGCCTAGAAAACCCAAAGGTGCTCCATCCCCATCCTGGTTTAGGAGAACAAGCAGATTAGGAAGTTTGCAGAAGTCATAAAGATGGGAACAGAAATGGATCTATTGGAGGATATCATTCCACAGGATAAGAACCATCACCAAGAAGCCCCACTTCCTGGGTTCCACAAAGTGAGACCGCTTATCTGAAAGGACCTGGAGCCTGCCTACTCTGGTTGAAATCAGTGGAAACATATGGAGCCAGGCAGTCCCTCCAGTTGCCAAGCTCTATTCCATGAAGCATTTTATATGTGATAACCAGCATCCTGAATTGCACATGAAAGCCAATGCTTGCAAAGCAGCAGGGTACATGCAGAGATTGCAACATGCCCCATCACATTCCACACAGCTACATTCTGACCCTGCTTTATCTTCTGGGTAATCTCCTGAGTGGTCTTCATGGACAGCCCTTACAGTAGACTATCTCAAGGGTCTCCTGGTCCAGAAACAGGCTCAACCTCTGCAAAGGCATCTTAGTACACAGCTGCCACCTGTTCTTTGAGAAGGAGCTATGAATCCATCCCCTGATTGCACACTAGTTTTGCATATGGCAGTGCAATCCCATTAAACACTAAATATGGAATGTCTCTAGAATCAGGGGGAATCAAACTGACAAAGCCACTTGGTCTTATCAGAATTGAGTCTAACTCTGTTCCATCCAGATATACACAATATCCAAGCACTGGGTCAAGACATCAGCAACATCTCTTGAGTGCCAAGTATATCCCAGTGCAGAAGTGTTTTTCGAAGGTTGCTCGGGGGTCGGTAACTTATCTAGGTAACTATTGATGTGTAATACTAAGCCATTGCTTAAGGTAATTTTTGCTGGTGTGAGATATCACTTGCAAAGCAGAACTGGGATATTCTATATGCAGCCATTATCAATCACTAATTGCTTAGTTTTTTAAAAAAAAAACTTAATTCATTTGACTTCTAAGAAGCATTGTACTAAAAATGTGAGGTTTTTATTGTAAATAAGACATCTTTCTATAAATTATTTATATTCATTTCAAAGAGTTCCTTGCAGGAGAATTGCATCAAAAATGAGTCTGTAATATATATGAGCATTCTTATTTGGCAAAATACTTATATCAGATTTTTTTTAATAAGTCAGTACTTGATAATTAGAAATTAGTGGTAAAAGTGAAAAATGAGGATAAAAAGACAATGTGTAGAAAGAGAAAAAATTCAGTTATAAAAATGTAGTCCAAAGGAGTTTTTAAAAACCCACAAAATACAGCTTTGGTATTTGGAAATTAAAAACGTTGTATAAAAGGGATAAGTGGGGAGCTTCCATCACATTGAATAGAATTAAAAATAAACATGATGAAATTGTGAAGTGAAGAAAAGCTTGAAGTATTTTGAAGTATTTTGTGTGAAAATGTTACTGAAATGTCAAAGGGTGGAACTGAAATGAATTTTATAAACGTTAGTAACCAAGAAAAAAATGATGAAAAAAATCATAAGAGCTGGGAAATGTTAAAAAAATGGAAACACTACAGTGCAGATGACATAACTGGAAAGATGTGAACACTTGGGTGTGTTTTTCTCCTAAATTTGCTCTGCCACTTGTTTTTATCTACATGTGAAGACTGCATTGCTGCTTGTTGATTGGTAGAGGGTTGTTGTAGGAAAATATGTAATAAATGAATTTATAAGAATTAGTATGCTAAGCATGCCTCACAGGTATTTGGTAGAATTCTGAAAATGAAAATAAACAGGAGACCAAGCAGGGAATGAATAGAGTAGAGTTTTGCTCTTCAATAAATCATTGACTATTAGATTCTTGATAGAGAGAATGCATATTATAAAATGAATAGACCAGAATTATCAAACATTTTGCAAAATAGTTTTTTGACATGAGTAGGATATAGAATGGCAGACTGAGTCTTATAATAATGACATAAATCACTAGACAAGTAAACTAGAAATTAGCCACATTGTCTTGTAATGTCCAGAGACTGAGATAATGTCAAAAGAATAATTGTTTTCATTTATCATTTAATTACTTTAATCCTTTTTTTTGAAAATTAAGAAAAGGGTCTAAGAGTCTCTTAAGACTTATGAAGGCACTTGTTTTCCCATGACTTCTCTCTGTATTGTTATTGCATTTTCTTTACAGAGGACTTGCTGTGAAGAATATTTCTAAAGTACTATTACTGCAGGATACATGGGGCTTTATGAGTGGTCAGGCACCAATTCTAGATGATGGCAGTGATCCCTAAATGCTGAAGACCAGAATATAGATAGGCTGTTGCCTTCTCCTGTATCCCCTGATTGTATATTGAGAGTATCTTTAAAGATGTTTTCCGAAGTACCAAATCCAGGAAGAAGGCCTGTCCATGGCTGCATCTGATGCTGAAAATTGCTGGTTCATCATGCTTATTTTAACATTCCAAATATTTTTATAGGGGCTGGTTTATGTGTTTGAATGTGTTTTCCTGCTATCTTGAATTCATATGTTTGCATACCATTAAGGGTGAATGGCCTATAACTTTGAAGAGGATAAAGGGAATATAAAACTTTTGATTTAATAATCTGCTCTAGATTGGTGGCTATATTTTCTACTGCATGGAAACTGGTTTGGCAGATAGATTCAGTAGGACAAAACATACACTCTCATCTAAATGTATACTTAGTGTCATGTTTATCAATGTCATGTTTATCTCTAAAATATATACATTGAGACTGCTCATCTTTGGGAGTATCTTTCATTTAAATCACAAATCTCTTTCAGATGGGTAAAAATTGGGGACCTCTCACTGAGATTGGCTTAGATTGGTAGGAGAGGATGAAAAGAAATGTATGTATGTAAGCTTTTCCTGGATATTGGAACCACCAATAGAGTTCCCAGAAGTCAGGGAAAAGTGAAATATATATCTTCAGAACTTTTGCACATCTCTTATAGGATGCTACTTTGATCATTAGTGGAAGCGAAACAGAAAGGCTGAACTACCAGCAGCTTGAGTTATACTGTATTTCTCAATTTGACTTGTAATTGAGAGCGTTGCAGAATCCTAAGTATGTTTACCTGGAAATAAGCTCCTAAGTCATGCATCTGATCAAACATATCCAGCCTATCCAACCCATTCTCCCCCTCCCCCACAAAATAAACACCTTTATATTGCAATTATTTTAGTGCTTTCATTTTCTAGAAGACTTTTAATTTGCCTCTGGCTGATAGAATTGAAAGTCAGTCCAGAAGACTAAACATTTTACAATAAATGTATTGATTACAAAAAATTTTCAATTACTTCTTGAAAGCAGGAAAAATCACATCATGACTTTAAGATAGCAGTATTCCTCCTTCAAATGACTTCACCTTCTACAATGCTTTCCTAAGCTGATAATTATTTATTTTTATTTTATTCATATGCTAGTCTTATATTTGATTTTTTGCCTTCAGAAGTTCTAAGTAATACACACAGTGCTCCCTTTTTCTATTTCCTGGCAAGGGTCATTAGAACTGGGTCTCCCAGTTCAAACATTGGGTCCAAACATTATACTACATTAACTTTGGCAGTTGAAATCTAACAAATTTGGAGAACTTAATTTGGATTAAGCTTGTTGTGAAACCTGTTGTAGAGCGGCGGTTACAGAGGGAGACGGAGCCAGGTTAGGCTAAAAGTCTTTATTCAAGAGAATAAAGGGTCGCCGCGGCTTCAGAGGCACTCTGACAGCCAGCTGGCGGCGACAGCTGATGCCGTTTGACAGCTCCCTTTTATAGCCGGCTGTCAAATGGCATCAGCCAATGGGAGCGATCGGCGCTCCCGCTCAGGCGGCGGACTGCTGGCAGGTTCTTAAGACATAACAAAACCGATGATGGTTACAATGCTTCCATGTCATTATTACATCCACTTTGCAGATTGAAAATTGTGAGTGACTGACAATAGCTTACTTCAAATAACTCAGTGTCATTACACATAGCCTTGATAGGATTTGCTCTGAAAACACCCAGACCAAAACTAATCTTCAGATGAACTACAGAATAATTGTTTTCTTTCTATTTGTAAATATTAATAATTGCTTTACAGCAAAGCAAGTTTTAAGCTCCATTGCAGTTACATATGGTTATATGTAACCATTTTTTCAAACTAGCTTTAAAGTAATATTTTGGAATCATTTTTTAAAATTTTATTTTAACATTTTTGTGTTGGAACAAAAGGTGGAATAGAAATACTTTAAATGAATAGTTTTGCTTTGTTTTTAAATGCAAGACCATTTATTCCAGTCTCCAAATTAAAAGTTACCTTAATTATATGCAGTTTAAATCTGAACTTTTTGTGAAAAGCAGTATAGTGATTTTTTTTCTGCTTTGTTTCACTTTGGAAAAGAAAGAGAATCTGAGAGCAATGCGGAAGAGAAACACTCTTAAAGCATCAAAATCTCTTTGTAATGCTCTAATATACTGTATATTTTCAGGCTTCTGCAACTGTTTTTCTTAGGACTGTTTGTTTACCAACCATTCAAAGTTACGATGGCAATGAAAAAAGTGACTTATAGCTGGTCCTTGCACTTGTGACTGTCTCAATGGCCCTATGGTCACACGGTCAAAATGTTGTTGCTTGGCACCTGGCAGGTATTTATCACAGCTGCAGCATCCTGGAGTCATGTGCTTAGCATTTACAACCTGCCCTGGAGGATTTCCACAAGCAAAGTCAATGGGGGAAACTAGATTTGCTTCACTTAGAAGTTCCAGTCTCAGTTCTGGTCATAAGTTGAGGGCTATCTAAAAATGATAATAATAGAGAAGAACTACATGTCATCACAGGTGAGATCAGGTGAGGATGCTGAATGACAAACCCTGAAGTCCAATTTTTCTCTCTCTCTCCTTAGCCACCAGAAAAAGAAGGTGGTCTACCTCGGCAGGTTGGTAACAAGACAGAATGTGGATTGCTTGGATTTGTGATGGATCTAAAGCGGGATTATCAGCCTGTTCGGAATCAAATGCCTGAAGAGAAACTCTACAAAGTTTACACATTTAACTCTGTGAGAAAGTCAATGAGCACTGTCATTAAAATGCCGGATGACAGCTTCCGAATGTATAGCAAAGGGGCTTCTGAAATTGTCCTAAAGAAGTATGTGCACGGTATTTGTTTTGAACCCTTTTTCATTAATTCTATGTGGAGGTGCTCCCAGTTGCTTTGTGAATATAAATATACTACTGCCACAGACAGTCTATCAGATAGATTTATGCTTAACGACGCTCCAAATCTCCATAAAAACAATGGGACATTCTTTTATATAAAATTTGTAATACATTTGTTCTTTTAGTGTATCATCATTTAAAGGACAGTCCTGAGTAAAATATATATCAAGTGTCACTGATATCTGTTTTTCTTTATTATAAGTACTTGCTTTGGCAGAATTCAAACTAATACATAAAGGAAGAAGGTTTTGACCTAGTCTGTTTGAAAAAACTTTATTTTGTTAATTGGAATTTCATCATTTATTATTTGAGGCAAGTATGATCCAAGTTGCCACTGCTATTTAAATTTTTTTTTAAAAAAAATTCTAAATGCCATAATCTAACTCGTTCCTCTCAATTGTTGAATCTCACTTCTTTGCAGTTGTGATCCAGTCATTTGTTTTCCTTTCTTTCCAGATGTTCTAAGATTCTTAATGCTGCAGGTGAGACTCGCATTTTTAGACCTCGTGATAGAGACGAGATGGTTAAGAAAGTGATTGAGCCCATGGCCTGTGATGGATTGAGAACCATCTGTGTTGCTTTTCGAGACTTTCCCGGTGATCCTGAACCAGAATGGGACACTGAAAATGATATTTTAACTGATCTTACCTGCATTTGCGTGGTTGGCATAGAAGATCCTGTACGACCAGAGGTAAAAATGCTCTAAAACAAAACAAAAAAAGACCAAGAGGCTCAGAGGGTTTTTTTCTCTGTGGGTAGTAAAAAAAACAACAGGTCTTTTAAAAAAATATTAACTTTTCAATATTTCCAAACATAACGCAATATAAAAACAACATGAATATGTGAACTCCTTTAGAATTCTCATTTGACTATAAGACTTGAACTATTTTGCTAATATTCATTTTATTTATTTAAGGTGCTGTTTCCCCCACTCTATTTAAGAAGACAGATATTATGCTAACCTGCATGTTTAGTGAATTTCCAGTTGATGAAAGGAAGATGGTAGAAACATTTGTTTCCTTGAGCTCCAGAAAAAAGATGGACAGGGTGTTGGAAATTAATTCTAGAGAGGAAAAGATTAGCAGATCTAGACCAGATTTTGAAGCAGAAGGGCTTTTTTCAAGAACAACAAAGATCAGAACAGTTAAAGCAGTAGACTTCTTGTGGTCCTAAACACAGAGAAAGAAGAGATATGTAGATGCTTCTGAACAGTGGCCATGAAAAGTACCCAGGATTGCAAGAAGAACCAGTCATTCCTCGACCACGGAAAGACTTGATTGCTCCCTTGAGGTGATGTGCAGCAAGCAGAATCTCACATAATTTTGGCATGTGATGTACAAAGTAGAACTAGAAAAGAAAGGCAATGAATAGATGCAATCAAAGAACTTATGAGAGCCTTTACAGGTTGAAATGTCAAGCTTTCATTTATAGAATGCCCCAGAATCAGAAATGACTTTGTGAAACTTAACTAGTTAACTAGCATTGATTTCAACCATTCTCATTCATTTTGATAGAAAAGTCCTTTTACCATTCCATTTGAAAGGTTTGGGAGGGGTGAAGCAGCTTATGCAATGGCTGGGGGACTGTGTGACAGTCTTGCATTGTGTTATTCACTAATTTCTTCAGTAATGTGCAAGTAAAGATAATTCTTCAGGGAGGAATTCAGCAGCAGGCTCCTTCCCCTCTATTTCTAGACATAGTAAGGCAAGCTTCAAAACACCAGAATAAATGGTATAGTGATTCTGACTGAGAACTATAAATTTTCTTTGCAAGAGATAGAAATTTAACAGAACTGGAAGATGGATTTTACTTACTCATGGAGGACTGCTTTAACATTTATTTTGCTTTCACAATCATATTCTTTTGAAAAGAGTATTATAATTATAGTTTATTTGCTTTTATTTTATTTTTTAAAAACTGAGATTGCAACCATGACCTACTGATGTGGAGAGTTTTCAGCAGTTCACACATCTCTGATTTAGTCCACACTGAGATTCTCAGCATTTTAAGTATCGGCCACAGTACAGTAGAACAATTAGCTTAGAATGGCTCATGATTGCTTTATTGTGATAAAAGTAATACCTTAACAACGGACCAGCTTGTATTAAAGATAATTTGAGTGCTTTTTTCATGTGCAACTGTGTTATAAATCCTAGAAAAAAATTCAAAATATATATTGAAAAAAATGCATAAAATTTATCCTAAAGATTTCAACTTGAAGACATAAAGATTAGGAAAGCCATTCTTAATTCTTAAAATGTTACATCCTGTAGTAGTTATTTCCCCTGTGGTTGGAATTTGCATACTCAGACAATCCAGTTTGCATTTGTGTTAGAAAGTTGTAATGCAGTTAATATCAAATCAGTTCAAATTTATTGTTTTTAGTATTTATTTGATTGGTCAATTGCTTACAAGATACAGGTATAAGAATAAACGTAGTTTTGAATACATGAGATAGATACTTATAAGAAAAATAAAAAGAAACAATAGGACAGGGACAGTAGGCATGATTGATGAGCTTATGCACACCACCTACAGCCCTTTTAGGAAGGGGATGAGGTCAATAGTAGACAGTCTAAGGTTAAAGTTTTTGGGGTTTGGGGAAGAAACCACAGAGTCAGGTAGAGTATTCCAAACATTGACCACTCTGTCACTGAAGTGGTATTTTCTGCAGTCAAGTTTGGTTTGGTTAACCTTGAGTTTGTATCTATTGTGTGCTCTTGTATTGTTATGATTGAAGCTAAAGTATTCATTTGCAGGTAGGACATTGCAATGTATGATTTTATACACTATATTTAGATTGGACCGGAGGTGGCATAGTTCTAGTTTTCTAGGTCTAGAGTTTCAAGTCTGGTGGTATAGGTATTCTGCAATGAGTAGTGGAGTGGAGAACTCTTCTTGTGAAATATTTCTGGACTTTTTCAATTGTGTTAATATCAGATACATGATATGGGTTCCAGACTGATGAGCTGTATTCAAGTATAGGTCTAGCAAAAGTTTTGTATGCTCTCGTTAGTAGTGTGATATTACCAGAGAAGAAGCTACGTAGGATTAGATTAATAACTCTTAATGCCTTTTTGGCTATGTAGTTACAGTGGGCTCTAGCACTTAGATCATTAGAGATGAGTACTCCAAGGTCCTTGACAAAGTTTGGATCCTCCACAAGATCTTGATTATTTAGCTTGTATTTCATTTTCTGATTTATTTTTTTTTGCCAATATGTAAGACAAAGCATTTATTTGTTGAGATTTGAAGTTGCCATTTGATTGACCATTCTGATACATAGTCAAGGTCTTTTTGGAGGATAGTAGTCTGTGGTGTTGAATAGCTTTCCATCATCAGCGAAGAGAACGCAGTTGCTCTTTTTTTAAAAATAAGTTTTATTTAAGTTTTCACAAAACATACAAATACAAATAAAATATCTTTTTTTGAGAACAGTGTGGCCCCGGGTTATCACTTCTCCATACAGACATAAACTCAATACATATTTATCTTATACATTCTAATCCATATCTTATAACTATTTTCGCTATTTTTTCAATAGCTTTTCCCTTTCTTTACTTCCTATAACCTTATTTTAAATTATCTCATTCCTTTCTTAATTCAATTACATATCTATTTCTAATTTTTAAAATCTTTCTAATCAATGTTTTTATACTTTCATCTGTCCTGTTTACAATTTCATATGATCTTTTCTCATAAAACAAATTTTCCCCTGTAATTACTAGACTGGAGTGTAACACCTTTGTATCTTTTTTCAAATCATTTAAAAAATTAAGTTACATCTTTACAGTTATAACATTCATTTTCTAACCTCTATTTTATAACACATACCTATTTTCAATCGAATTCTGCTTGGTACATTCCCTTAAAATACACACTAAATTCTTAAAAGAAAAAAGTATATATGTATATATATCTGTGTATATATGTATAACAATAGTAAATGGAATAATTATTCTATTCAAGTACAGCTCTGCCATTAATATTAATAACAATCTTTTACATTTCTATTTCTTTTAACAAACATTACCTAGTAATATCAGTTGTCTTTCACTTTAATCATCTATATTCCATATTTTACTTATTACTGTGTTTAAATAAAATAAAAAAAACAATAGTTATTAACAGTAGTAAATAAAGTTATTATTCTTATTCAAATTCATCTTGTCAACTGATAACAATCTTCCATGTTTCTTTTCAGGTTTTTTTAAATGTTCTTTTTAAATCATTGAGAGCCTTATTCTCTTTACAAACAAATATTCCATTACACATCAATATAAATTTTTTCTATCACTTTAATCACCTAACATATTGTCTAACCCTTTTCTATTTTTAATATAACAATGCTATCCCATGCACCCTTGCAGAATCCTCTCCTTAAATTTTAACCATTGTCTCTGTGTCTTTTAAATAGGTTTATACCTTTAATTCTTGTACATTTTTCCTGTACCTCTATATCTTGTTTCTGTCTTTTGTAGGTTCTTTTCCTTTCCCTCTTCCCTCTCTTCTTCTCCCTCCCCTTTTTATTCCCTTTTCTATCTGATTCTCCCTTCTGTGATCCTCCCTTCTGCTTCTTCCTGATATTAACATTGCTTTTCAAATTACTCTTTTTTTGTTGTTGTTGCTTCAGTGCTTAAGTTTTTAACTCCCTTCCCCCCCTTCCCCCTTTTTACCCCACTTAAAATTGCTTGGTCATTAAAGATGGCTTCTTCGTTGTCCTGCCCTTCTTGTTCTTCCAGCGTTTCTTGTTGTTTTTCATAGTTCAAGATTTCCATTTCTAAAAATTGAAATACGAAGCCAAAAAATCCTCTTCCATCTTGTGCTTCTTGTTAAAATTCCACTATCAATTCTTTTTTAAGTTCCAGGTGGTCTCTTCCATTTTCCAGATTCTACCCTCTTTTTTCCTTTTTCCCTCCACTGCTTTCTTTCTTTTTTTAAAGAAAGTTTTTAAATTATCTAAGAATATCCCTTTGACATTTTATTTTCAGCTAGATATAACCTATTAATTCAGGTTCCAGGTACCTTAAACAGATGTTCTCCATTCAACCCGGTCAGTCAAACTTTCTCCTTTAAACTTCCTCCTGCCCAATCTTGTCCTGTTGGGTTCTTCTTTGAGGTGGCCATTTCTGACCACCGCTGCAACTGCCTTTGGGAAAGGGAGTAATGGCCAGCCGAGGAGGAGAGATGCGGCTCTCCTCAACCCCGCTGATGGCTCCACCTTCTTCACCACCTCTATGGGGTGGCTTAAGCCCTGAATCCAGGTGGCTTGGGGCGCTCCAGCGGCAAGCACGGATCAAAACCGCGGAAAATTGCAACTTCAGTCCATCGCTGAAAAAGCCCAAACCGGAAGTCGCAGTTGCTCTTAATATGACCACAGAGGTCATTTATGTAGAGTATGAAGAGAGTTGGTCCTAAAACACTGCCTTGGGGGACACCATTATTGACAGGTACAGAATTTGATAGGACGCTCCCAATTTTGACCATGTGTTGTCTGTTTGACAGGAATGCTTCTATCCAGTTATGTAGGTGTCCAGAGATACCATAAGATTTTAGTTTTAGTAGTAGTTTTTCGTGTACCACTGAATCAAAGGCTTTACAGAAGTCTATGTAGATTGCGTCTATTGCTTTGCCCTGATCGAGTTATATAGTCCATATGTTTTTGCAGTGTAAGAGTTGCAGATTACAGGATAGTTTTTTTCTGAAACCAAATTGTTTATTAGAAAGTAGGTTGCTTGTCTCTAAGTGTAGGATAATGGATTGATTAATAATTGATTCCATGACTTTACAGGTGACGCAGCATAAAGAGATTGGTTTGTAATTTTCAACTAGGCTGGGGTCTCCCTTTTTGAAGATGGGGATGACCGTGGCTTGTGGCCATAGTTTTGGCAAGGAGCTAGTACTGAAAGATTTTTAAAAGATTATGCTTAGAGGTTCTGCTATGGCAGTAGATAGCTTTTTTAAGAAGTAGGCACATATTCCGTCCTGTCCAATAGATAGAGATGGTTTTAGATTGTGCAGTGCTTTTTCAACAATGTCTTCTGTAAAATTGATATGTATTAGATTATTGTAGTTGTCTGTGGTTCGACTAGGAAGTAATGGGCTTGATTCATTGCTGTTTACAAATACTGAGCCAAAAAATGTGTTAAAGAGGTTTGCTTTGATGGTGTCGTCGTTGCACTCTTTACCATTAGGTCCTTTCAGGGGTGGGATGGACCTTGAGTCTTTTAGTTTGTTGTTTACAAAATTGTACAAAGCACGGGTGGAATTTGTGCGTAGAAGGTTTTCCTCTTGTTTAATGTGATAATTTGTGCATTCAGTTTTTATCTGGTGGCATAGATTTTTGTATCGGCTTTTGAAGTTGGCAACGTGACCAGATTTGTTTTTTTCACCAAACTGATCTCTTTTTGGATTGAAGCTTCCTTATTATTATGGGTAATCTGTTTTTCCTGGTTTTGGGAGTTGTTGTTGGTACATATAGTTTGATGGCTCTTTTGATTTCTAGCAAGAATATGTTGTCATGGTCTTCAACAGTATTGTATCCAGTGAATAGAAATTGCCAATCAAGGGAAGAGAGATCGTTGATTATAAGATCATAGTTGCCTTTTTTGAATTTGTTCTGCAAATTTGTTCAAAGATCCATTTATTTATTTTATATTTTTCACATTTTATTAATTTGTGGGTTTACCATAGATTGTAATATCTATATTGCTCTCTTTCTTATGAACTAATCAGTAGTTATAACTGAATTAAGAGACATACTTTGTTATTAGTACTTCTACCAACAGCTGGATGCCTGGAGGGAAAGGAAGGCAACCATGTAGTGAAAGAAAAAGCAATTATAGTCATTACATAGTAATAATGGGAAGCTCTGAATGTGGATATAAAATAAATAAAGATAAAACAGATTTTACTGATTGCCCCGTGGCTGATGGAGGAATTGCTCAATTCAATAGACAGTAGAAAAATTGAGATAATTAATCTACAAAGTAGAGGAACAGTTCCTAAGTCCTCCCTCCCCCAGGTTGCTTTCTAAACAAATTATAAAATTCAAGTCATATCCTAGTTGTAAGCACAGGATAGTGTGGCCTCATTTCTCTGTTGGACTCATTGAGATAAGGTTGGGAGGTTGTTCCTGGGCCTCAGGTGCTCTCTGAACTACTTTTTGTGTGTTGCTCTTCTCACTACCTGGATGACCTTGCTCGATCTCAGAAAGTTAAGAAGGCCTATTTAAGACTTGAATGGAAAGCCACCAGATAATCCCAAACCTAAACAAGCAAAAAACAAAACAAAATAAAAACATCCTAGAGGAAAACAATGAAAACCCATTACATAGTTTTCTTAACAAATTGCCATGAGATCTTCTTGACTTAAGGATACTTTATTTGTATGCACCACAGCAGGAAAATTATTTTTAATCGTTATAAAACAAGTAATATGAAAAAAACTGTAATGTGAGATTAACACTATTAAAAAAATTCCACAATCCTAATTCTTTTCTCATTGCCATGCCCACTGCAAACCTTAATCTCTTAAAAATACAAAACATTTATTTTGCTGTGTGCTGTAGTGGTTCTTCAATGTTACATTCAATTTGAATGAGAAAGCTAAATAATTTTAGACCTGTTATATTGCTATGTTAAACTGTAATTAATATTTATAGAACATGTTTCTTTCTCTTTTCTACTCTCAATATTCCAAGCTTTTCAACTATTAGCTATCTATATAGTTAATAGTTTTTAGAGATTTTATAGAAACATTAAATTAATACTATTTATAACAAAATATATCTTGTTATAATAAATTAATATTTATAACGCATAATAAAAAGGGATGGTAAAGGCAAAAGAAATGTGAAACTTGGAAATCAAGAGCAGACCACCCCTGCTCTGTACAAACATTAACATCCTACTTGTTGATTCAAACAAGCTTATCACTATGGCAGTGTGCAGTTGTGATGTATGAGAAATGTGATCCTTCACTAGCAGTTCTTTTCCACTTCCACAAATGGTATGTGCTGTTCAGGTAAAATGATTGGAACACATTGTTATTTTATGCTAAAGAAGTAGCAGAATGAATTTGTGCCATTGTGTTGATATTTGCTTACTTAACCCATGTCTTCTTTCTAGTATAATGATTTCTTATGCTTCTAGTATTTTTTTCTGAATTAAATTCTTTTAAAATACAGTGTTGAACTATGAGCAGGCCCTTAGTAGAATTTTCATCTTCTTTCAAAAGTAAATTATCCATTCCTCATTAGCAATCAGTTTGTTTCTAAGGACATAAAAAACAACTCTATAAGCTGGTAATTAGAATACATGGCATTCTGCACACTCTCCAGAATGTCTCTTTGCCATATATGTTATTCTTAGGGACTGCATATTCTTACAACTCTAAAAGGCCCATGATGTCTGTCTTGCTTTATTTTACTAATGATGCAGTTTTCAATATTTGAAAATACTTCATTGCAAAGTATGGTTCTGATGAGTTATTATTATTATTCTATCTACTGCTTTTCTGTTCCATCTTCTTCCATTCCATGTCACTGTTTGATTAGGTCCCAGAAGCCATAAGAAAGTGCCAGCGAGCTGGAATTACAGTCCGCATGGTTACGGGAGATAACATCAATACAGCTCGTGCTATTGCCGTAAAATGTGGAATTATTCACCCTGGTGAAGATTTCCTCTGTATTGAAGGAAAGGATTTTAATCGAAGGATTCGAAATGAGAAGGGAGATGTAAGTCATGTGCAAAGCAGTATATATTCTGTCTACAATTGTTAAAGAACTGGGAAGAAAAAGCAGTTGTTTGTATTTAATGTGTTGCCCCCTCCTTTTTTTTTTTTTAGTTTTCTGTGCAAGAGATATAATTCAAAAATGGCAATACTGTAATATTAAATACTGACAGAAATTGTCAAGAGTAAATCAAACACTTGCACACATTTCAGTTTTCATTAGTTATCATTTGTGCATCAAAACATGGCACTGTTTGAAAAAGCTCCATGCCCTGTTTTATCTGTTCCCTATTCCTGTTCCACTTTCCTGGAAACAATATCCGAATTGATAAACACTAGTTTTTGCCATTTCTCAAAAGCAGGATTGAAGCACAGTTTGCAATCCTTTTTAAAGAGATTATGTAACCTGAAATTCTTGTTGCTGTTTGAACTTGTTTATTTGTTTGCAGATGTTTTCTTATACAATTAGGTGACATAATTAAGTCCCTTACACTGATGATACTATCTAGTTAGGTAATGAAACGTCTGCGAGCAACCAACCAAGTTCAGAGAGCACAATGGCTTCAACCCTGAGATATTGTCTCCTATTGGAGTTTATTTAATCCATAGTATACCATCTGGAAGGGTGAAATAGCACGGAAAATTAGCAAAATCTAGTTGTTATTTTTGCATACATTCAAGCTGAAAAGCACCTTTATTAATATTTTTCTGTATAATAACTATAAAATATTCATAACACAGATCAGCCTCTCTCCATAACATTTTTGATTATTCATAATAGGGCTGATCCTACTAAGATATGTTAGAAATCTATTGTACATTTAATCACAATGTTTTTATAAGTTTAGAAAATTTCTATTTCATTTATTTAAAAAAAACTGATGCAAAAACTACATAGAAAAAATAATCGGTTACTCAGGAATATTTAGAACAAGATGTTGAAAGTAGCACATTATTAAAAAAAATAGTACAACAATATTATTCAGACAACATTCGATGACATATTAATTTGAATGGGGAATGGAATATTTCTTTTCATCCTTAAAAGTGATATTTTTTAAAATGACACTGAAATGTATTGAAGACTGACAAATGCATTCTTTTTGTTACTCTTTTTCCTATTTTCAGATAGAGCAGGAACGCATTGATAAGATATGGCCAAAACTTCGTGTCCTTGCTCGTTCATCACCCACAGATAAACATACCTTGGTGAAAGGTAAGACTGTGCTTTGAACGTATCTCTACATATCTGTTATTCTATGATGACTTTTGTAAAACTTAAACAGTTTGCTTCCTTTACACAATTTCGTGAACATAGCTGTAATCTACATAGCTTCAAGAAATTAGGTATAACAACATTTTGATGATAAGAGTGTTTATTGTGGCACTTGTCTTCTAGAACGAAGTTCTAAAATCCATGTAATTCTCTTTCTGATAACATTATGGAAATCCTGGCTGTTTTCTTAGATCCCTAGGCTAAGGTGGATGGAGCCACTATGACATGTATTAGCTGGATTGCCATCTTGGGTTTTTTTCTTCTTTTGTACATCTTTATTTATTTTGTTTCTGACTCGTCATATTGATATTTTATTCCTTCTTCATATTGCTTCTGACTCATTATATTGTATATTATTGTGGTTACATTGTAAGCTTCCTAACGTCTTTTAGAGTTGGACAGCCTCTACACTGAATAAATTAAATTAAATTACACTTAATCCAAACATATACTTTGGTTTTCACACATCTTTCTTAATGCATGCTATATTTTTTCAACTACTCCAAGAGCAATAATTGCCAGCAAAATCCAGAGGTGCAAAATCAGTCTATCCTTTGTGAAATGCCCATATTTCGAGGTAAAAGAGTTCAACAGACTTTGCATTTGTATATCTTTTTGCATCGTCTTCCCATGTCTGACCATGTCAGAGCCAAATACTTTTTGCTGTCTTCCACCGTAGGAGTTAGCCATTTTATAATTTATGCTAATCTTTAAAACGTATACTGTTGTTGTTCTTCAATTTAATAATAATTATGCCTTTGTTACTGATCATAAGAAGTAGAGCAGTGGTCCCCAACCTTTTTTGTGCCAGAGACCAGTTTCACGCAGAAACACTTTTTCAAGGGCCGGGGGGGGGGGGGGCCGGGGGTGGTGGGTTGCTTGCAGACGTTTCATTATCTGACTAGGTAACATCTGATGTTGTTACCTAGTCGGGTAATAAAACGTCTGCCAGCAAACCACCAAGTTCAGGGAATGCCAATGCCTCCTCATTGCAACCCTGAGCGACAGATAGTCCCTGCAGGACGGCTGAGAAGCCTCGCCTCTCGGCCTTGCCTTCATCAGCCCCATCCCTCAGGTGTCTCCCTCCCTCCTCTCTCAGTCGCTCTCTCACTCCTCCACCAGCCCAGGAAGAAACTGCTTCAAAGAAGCCTGCAGGGTGGCTTTTCCTGTCGGCGCAGCTCTTCCGAAGCGCCCGTTCACCCCCACCCCGCCGCCCACGGTTCAATCCAGTGCTCCGTTCTGCCTGCCTGCCTTCATTTCTGGTGGTTTCGGAGCGCAGCTCCTCCGAAGCGCCCGTTCACCGCCTCTTTTTCTCAGCCGAAGCTGCTCCGAAACTACCAGAAACGAAGGCAGGCAGGCAGGCAGAACGGAGCACTGGATTGAACCGCGCGCGGGTGGGCGGGGTGGGGGTGAACAGGCGCTTCGGGGGAGCTGCGCCGACAGGAAAAGCCACCCTGCCGGCTCCTTTGAAGCAGTTTCTTCCTGGGCTGGTGGAGGAGCGAGAGAGCGACTGAGAGAGGAACGAGGCGGGAGGAAACCGAAGCCACTGAGCCGGAGAGCAGGACAGGCTTTGGTTGCTTCCTCCCTCCCTTTCTTTCATTTGTGTCCTTGATCCCTGATCCCAGCAGCATTCACTGAAGGCGAAGAAAGCCGCCATTTTTTTATTTTTTTTCTTTGCGGCCCAGTACAGAGTGCTCCACGGCCCGGTACCGGTCTGCGGCCCGGTGGTTGGGGACCCCTGAAGTAGAGCATATGGCCTTCTCATTTCATTGTCCAACACTAAAATGGATCAAAATATCTTTTTTAAAATAATACATACAAAGCCACACATGTGTATATTCGCAACAGTCAATCTCAACATTTGCTTTATTTGATGTCAGAAATCCTGCTAAAATGTTCATGCTGTTAGCATCTTGCAGAATTAGGCTCTCAAAATTCATTCCATCTCAGTCTGCATTAAAAAAACCCTCCCCTTTCCAATTACTCATCCACTTAATATACAATAGGACAAAAATGAACTATTTTGTGGAGGAAATGCAGTTAGCAGGGTTGAGTGATGATAAAAATGAATCTAAATGAGATGGATTGCGGAGCATAAGATTACGGCATAATAAAGCAGACCTGAATGTCTTATATAACTTCAGTTTAAAACTGGTGAAAGCGCTCAGCAAACAGCAGAGCCGGCAGGAAAAGAGAGGAATAATGCCTATAATGGAAGAAGAGTGCTTTTGGCTTGGGAACATCTTTTGCTTTTTTTTACTGAATTTCATTTAAAGTTACACATAATTATTTGAGACATTTACTTTTGACCATATGCATGTTCTTCTCCTTGAAGGATTAATCAGGATCTCACTTTTTTTTTTATTCAACTATCTGGTATACATGCATATTTCATACCTATCTTATGCTTCATGAAAATTAGAATCAATCAGCAACACTCTGTGGATGAAGAGCATAATTTATTGGCATTATTTTTTGGGTCTTCCTATCCAGGGTTTTTACTTCAGCTTGAGTCCAGTCCACTATTACAGCTATATACGTATCTAATGACTGGAATTTCCTCGGTATTCATTGCCTTAATGATATTACTGCCACTGACTTTGGACTATAAGACCTTCACTCTTTTGATGTATTCACTACTAACTTTCTTCTTGACTTCAGTAGGCTTGAAGTTATCAGCCTGAAGATTGCCTAGATATTGGTGGTGATCTTCTTCATCCAGATTCTTGATGTTTTTACTAATTATCTGACCCAGATTGTTGGGGACAATATGCTGACTCTGTAAACTGCTTAGAGAGCGCTGTAAAGCATTATGAAGTAGTATATAAGTCTAAATGCTAGCCCCTATTGAATATAAGGATGGCATGTTTGTCCTGTCCAAACTCCATTGAAATATCTTGACTGTGTATATGGACAGTGTTGAAAACATTGATTCTATTTCAGATTATATTTTTCCATTCAGTTTCAGATCATCCATTTACAGGATGTGGCATAGCCTGGCTTCTTGCTCAATATTGTTGACAGAGGAATCAGTGCAATGACAAAAAGTAGTGTCACTACTTGACTCTGTTGTCACATGCTCAAACCTTCACTCCTTTACCCTCAAACTAACCTCTATTGACCTCATCCCATAAGAGGTCTGTAAGGGGCATGCATAAACACACAATCGTGCCTACCGTCCCTGTCCTATTGTCCCCAATTATTCCTACCTATTTCATGTATTTATACTTACATTTATTCTTATTTCTATTATATTGTAAGCTTTTGACAAATCAAATAAATAAAATAAGTAATAAGATAAATTTGGGTACTATACTTTAGTTATAGGTAACAAGTTAGATAGATCCTTAAGAGGTCATGTCATCTGACCCTTTTAAAAAAATGTGCACTGTATATGAAAGACATGTAAAAAAAAGTGTGAGGCTTTGCTTGCCAGTTGGTAGTATTTACCACACATAAGCACTTAACAGAATAACAGAGTTGGCAGGGGTTTTGGAAGTCTTCTAGTCCAACTCTCTTCACAAGAAGGATACCCTATATCATTCTGGACAAATGGCTGTCCAATCTCTTTTTAAGAACCTCCAGTGAGCACCCACAAGTTCTGAAGTCAGGTTGTTCTACTGGCCAAGTGTTTTCACTGTCAGGACATTTCTGGAAGTCTGGGCACCAGCTATTTCTTCTTGCTCTGATAGAGCGGGGACACTCCTGTCAATCTAACTGATGATCAAATTATGTCAACTTGACAAAACCATAAAAGCAGCCCTTCTCTATTTTGCCTGTCTGCTGGAATATCATCTTCATAAATATCTGTATTGCATCCTGACTATCTTTGAAAAGTCTTTGAAAGCTTGACTTTTCCCTCAAGACTTGGATTAGGTTTGGTAGTAAGATCCTTTTAAAATTTTATATGTTACCTGCATGTTTTCCTCTGAGGCATACATTGTTTGATTATTTTTTTAAAAATCTCTATAGCTCTTAATGTTGCATGATGCATAGAGCAACTCCTGGGAGTTGGACAGATTTCTAACATACATACATGACACATATTTACATGATTACTTAGGAATGCATTGCCATATTTTGCAGGTATCATTGACAGCACGCAAGTGGAGCAGAGGCAGGTTGTAGCAGTGACTGGTGATGGAACTAATGATGGACCAGCTCTTAAAAAAGCTGATGTTGGCTTTGCAATGGTATATTTCAGTTTGTTCCTGGTTTCAGTTTTGATCTACTTTTGTGAGTGAAGGCATTGCATTTGGAATTGGGGCTAAATATTCCCCCAAAGATTTTTTTAATGATGAAAAAAATGTTCTCAATATTCTCTCAATCTACTCTTTCACTGCAATATATTTTAATAATATTAGTTCATACTATCTTGTGGCATTACCTGGATTTTCTAAATGGTTTTGAAAATATGTCCATGGGAAGGGCAGTTGGGTAATAACTAAAACTTCAGCTCTGAGCAATAAGTCAGATCACAAACAGATTCCAGTATGCTTGCCATCTGCTGTACAAAATCTGTTGAAGTAATAAATTACTTTCACACTGTTTTGGATCTTGGCTGCTATTTTATCCTGCAACAGATATTTAAGAGTAAAGTATTCTGGAGGGAAAAAATCCCATTTTTATGACCCTGTGGACCTTATTGGGATACTCCTCAAACTGATTTCTTATTACTCCTTCTAAAAAAAATACTGTTGGCATCTCTTTATTTTTCAGGGTATTGCAGGCACAGATGTGGCAAAGGAAGCTTCTGATATTATCCTCACAGATGACAACTTCAGCAGTATTGTGAAAGCTGTAATGTGGGGCCGTAATGTTTATGACAGCATCTCTAAGTTCCTGCAGTTCCAGCTTACTGTAAACGTGGTGGCTGTGATCGTGGCTTTCACTGGTGCTTGCATTACCCAGGTAAGGCTGAGAGTAAACTAAGGTCAATTCTGGGCATTGCAGTGATCCTTTGGATTCAGACAGTACCTAGCTTGACCACAGCTGATTAATAAGATTGAGATGAAAAATAGTTACCATCACTAAAGCAAGCATTCTAGCTATTTTATAAACACATAGAACTTATTTTTTTGGTAACAGCCCAAAGCAATACTTTGTACAGTAGCTAAAGCAGGTCACTGCATTATGTTCATATGCTAGGCAAAAACCCATTAGGGTTAGAAACAAAGGCTTTGGGTTATGTGAATATTTATTTTTCACTCTGAACTCCCATGAAATCAGAGTGATTCAAAGGGTACCATAATTGGGGGATAGCATTTCAGGTTATACAGGTAATCCTCATTGAATCGTCATTTGTTCAGCACCTGTTTAAACTGATGACAGTACTGAATGAGGGGTACTTAGAATAGGGCCTGATAGATGCGGCCATGGTCACATGATCATGATTCAGGTACCAAGCAAACAGCTTGCAATTACAACATTGTAGAGTCCTGAGGTCATAGGACTGTCACTGGTGACCTTCTCTTGGCTTCTGACAAGCAGAGTCAATGGAGAAGCTGGGAAGTGGTCACAAATGACAATCACATGTCTGTGGGACACTGCAACCCCACAAGATTCATCTAATGACAGCAACTGGGATTGCTGGAACTGGTGTCATAAGTCAAGGCAGTTATACCTCAACTTTGGATGACATCGTTTAGCGATAGTGTTCCTGGACCCAATTAACATCAGAAAGTGAGGATTACCTACATAGCCACCTTCCACACCTTTTTGTTGGTTTACAATATTGTAGTTACTGGGGGCAACCTATGCAATAATCTTTTTAAGCTACCATGTGGAATAGAGGGAAATATTGGTATATTGTAGAGAACTTACATATTTTAGTAATGGATTTATAATCCTCTTTTAAATGAAGCAAGGTTTACAGTATGCACATGGTTTTATTTTGTTTTATAAAAAGCAAAAGGGCCAATGTTATTTCTTTCATTGATTTAACATTCTTGAAAACATAAATAGGCTGATTAACAAGGTCACATATTTGAATTTGAGTCAGAAAACTATCATTTGCCTAGTGAATCTTTTTGTAGTTCTAAACAAAATTATTCTCACTTTTTCTTTCTCCCCTAACTTATTATCTCTTTCCCTTGTCTCAGTTTCATCCAATTAGATCCTTCCCCTAATTCTCTTTTCTTTCTTTTCCTTGCAGCTCTGTCTATTCCATCTTCATGTTGTCAGCCTTCCCATGCTGTATTTTATAGAAAATTTGTTTTAATCAATATTTTCTTCTGGAAGACACACACATACACATGCACTTTTTACATATGCAAGTTATAAACATGTGAAATATGCTATCATGATTTTCAAAAGTTGTGAAGCAGAATCTCTCTCTCTCTCCCCCCTCCCCCTTTCAGTGTGTGTGTGTGTGTGTGTGTGTGTGTGTGTGTGTCCCTGTCTATAGTGCATTGTCTATAGAAGCTTGCAACAAAATCTATCTTTGAAAACATAGTGCCGTTATTCACATAGCACATACTGTTCACTCTGGTACAACAGGGAAATTCAGCCTCACAGAGCAAATTATGAATAAGTCATTAGGTATACTGTAAAGAATAAGTTTACCTTGTCATCATGATATGGCCAAGTGAAACCTGAGGCAGTCTCTTTTGGAAGCCACAACATTGAAACTTCTCCCAAGTTACTCTGCTAAATTTTTTAAGGTGTTCAAAGGATGTAACTATTGATTTCATCCGGGTTATTAGTCCCTCTGAGCAACAAACCCCCAAAGGAAGCACTTCAGTTAAAAACATGAAGGGGTGGGAAAAGCCAGGTCAACATTTACATTAAGTAATATTTGATTACACTATGCAATAGAATAATCAAATAAAATCCAGGAGAGGAATACTTTAGAGAAAGAGTGCATTTCCTTGACTCACTCAGAATGGATTTCTATCTAGTTTACATTAGCTATCATTATTATTATTTTAATAAAAGTTTTATTTAAGTTTTCACAAAACATACAAATACAAATAAAATATTTTTTTTGAGAACAGCGTGGCCCCGGGTTATCACTTCTCCATACAGACATAAACTCAATACATAGTTATCTTATACATTCTAATCCATATCTTATAACTATTTTCGCGGTTTTTTCAATAGCTTTTCCCTTTCTTTACTTCCTATAGCCTTATTTTAAATTATCTCATTCCTTTCTTAATTCAATTACATATCTTTTTCTAATTTTTAAAATCTTTCTAATCAATGTTTTTATACTTTCGTCTGTGCCCTGTTTAAAATTTCATATGATCTTTTCTCATAAAACAAATTTTCCCCTGTAATTACTAGACTGGAGTGTAACACCTTTGTATCTTTTTTCAAATCTTATTTAAAAAATTAAGTTACATCTTTACAGTTATAACATTCATTTTCTAACCTCTATTTTATAACACATACCTATTTTCAATCGAATTCTGCTTGGTACATTCCCTTAAAATACACACTAAATTCTTAAAAGAAAAAAAGTATATATGTATATATATCTGTGTATATATGTATAACAATAGTAAATGGAATAATTATTCTATTCAAGTACAGCTCTGCCATTAATATTAATAACAATCTTTTACATTTCTATTTCTTTTAACAAACATTACCTAGTAATATCAGTCGTCTTTCACTTTAATCATCTATATTCCATATTTTACTTATTACTGTGTTTAAATAAAAAAAAACCCAAACAATAGTTATTAACAGTAGTCAATAAGGTTATTATTCTTATTCAAGTTCATCTTGTCAACTGACAAAAATCTTCCATGTTTCTTTTCAGTTTTTTTAAATGTTCTTCTTAAATCATTGAGAGCCTTATTCTCTTTACAAACAAATATTCCACTACACATCAATATAATTTTTTTCTGTCACTTTAATTATCTAACATATTTTCTAACCTTTTTCAATTTCTAATATAACAGTGCTATCCCATGCACCCTTGCAGAATCCTCTCCTTAAGTTAAATTTTAACCATTGTCTCTGTGTCTTTTAAATAGGTTTATACCTTTAATTCTTGTACGTTTTTCCTGTACCTCTATATCTTGTTTCTGTCTTTTGTAGCTTCTTTTCCTTTCCCTGTTCCCTCTCTTCTTCTCCCTCCCCTTTTTATTTCTTTTTCTATCTGATTCTCCCTTCTGTGATCCTCCCTTCTGCTTCTTCCTGATATTAACATTGCTTTTCAAATTACTCTTTTTTTTTGTTGTTGCTTCAGTGCTTAAGTTTTTAACTCCCTTACCCCCCTTTCCCTTTTTTACCCCACTTAAAATTGCTTGGTCATTAAAGATGGCTTCTTCGTTGTCCCGCCCTTCTTGTTCTGCCAGCGTTTCTTGTTGTTTTTCATAGTTCAAGATCTCCATTTCTAAAAATTGAAATACAAAGCCAAAAAATCCTCTTCCGTCTTGTGCTTCTTCTTTTTGGTCTTTAAGTCTCATTTTTAACTCTTCAAGGAGTGATACCATTTTAAAAAAATGATTTTACTTTATTTCATTAGGATCCTCCATCCAAAGTTCCAGGAATCATCCAATAGTCCAAAACTGTTTCTTGCTTCTTTTCTCACTTTCTCTTTCCAGGGGCTTTGTTATCTTGTAACAAAGTTTCAGCTACAATGTATCTTTTGCAAGCCTTGTTAAAATTCCACTATCAATTTTTTTTAAGTTCCAGGTGGTCTCCTCCATTTTCCAGACTCCACCCTCTTTTTTCCTTTTTCCCTCCGCTGCTTTCTTTCTTTTTTTAAAGAAAGTTTTTAAATTATCCAAGAATCTTTATCCCTTTGACACTTTATTTTCAGCTAGAAATAGCCTATTAATGTCAAAGTGGATTAGTATCAATTTCTTATTTGAATCTCTTCTTCTTAATGTTCCAAGTCAGTTAAAACTGTCGATGTTAGAGGAAAAAAAGCCAATTCCGTTTCCTTTCCCTTTCTCTTTCTCAGCTTAAAATCTTTTTTAGGAATAGTATTAGTCTTTAAAATTCAGGTTCCAGGTACCTTAAATAGATGTTCTCCATTCAACCCGGTCAGTCAAACTTTCTCCTTTAAACTTCCTCCTGCCCAATCTTGTCCTGTCGGGTCCTTCTTTGAGGTGGCCATTTCTGACCATCACTGCAACTGCCTTTGGGAAAGGGAGTAATGGCCAGCCGAGGAGGAGAGATGCGGCTCTCCTCAACCCTGCTGATGGCTCCCCCTTCTTCACCACCTCTACGGGGGTGGCTTGGGGCGCTCCAGCGGCGAGCACAGATCAAAACCGTGGACAATCGTGATTTCAGTCCATCGCCGAAGAAACCCAAACCGGAAGTCCCTGCTATCATTAATTAAATAACCCATAACTAGGTTTGCACAAATGCTAAACCAAAACCCAACCAACCACATTTTAATTGTCCAGTAGTTGTGTGTTTTAATGATTTAAGAAACTTGGGTTTGATCTATTTTTGCATGGCTTTGGTTCATATGTAGAAGGATGTTATTGCTGGGTGGATTAAAATGTATTGAATGAACACATCAGAAAGCAGTTGCATAAATCACAATAAAGCTCAGCAGAACCCTCATTCCTCTCTCCCTGGTTGGACTTAATCATATATATGGAAATAATTCTTTCCGCCAGTCAGGAGGTTGACCAATGAGTATTATCTTACTCATCCCTTTCTGAGGCTCTAGACCATGGGTGTCTCAACTTCGGCATCTTTAAAACTTGTGGACTTCAGTAGAAATTTCATTACATCAAAAACTAATGTGTGCTTAATGCCTAGATTGTGGTTCAAAATGAGCTCTTATGTTTGACTGAATGGTGCAGAATAGTAGATAATTATTAGAGTCACCCAAACAACATGCAGTGATTGGTAGTGGGAAATATGAGAATGCTGTGCTACCCAAAACAACAGCTGACAATTGCACATGTGTAATTTAGAGGATGGATCAAAGCAATAAATTTGTTTTACATACTGTGGTTCTTTTGCATTTTACTGACACTTGCATAGTAAAGACTTTTAAAATTGAGATTTATATGGTGTGAGAACAGCATTTAAAACTGAACACTTCCAGAAATAATTTTTAACTGTTTGGAATTCTACCTTGACAACTTCAATTCAAAATATTCCCCAATCACACATGAAGTCACATTGCTCAATGAAATGTACCTTCCTGCATTCAGAAGAGAAGCATCAGCAAAGATGCTGCAAACTACAGTATATTCTAACTTCTGAGGATGTTTGGTTAGTGCAGCCCATATTGTAATCTTCTTCATTGATCTTAGCTTTTTTTTTTTAGGAAAGTTACTTTATTTCTTCCATAGTTATTGGGATGTATATCCTGGGAGTAGTAGTCCAAAGTACCTGCAAGAGTCATATATGTCCCTGTTTACCTTAAGGTGCATAAAATCACAGAAAAGTAGATTAATTAGGAGAGATGGTTCCCATTTCCCCCTTCCTATTATGACTTTCCAATATTTTTTGGATAATTACTGAACTTATAGATCACATTCAGGTGAAAGGAGAAGTCTGGACAAGCTGTTAATTTCAGTTAATGAAAAGAATAAATTCTATTTCATTTCTCACTAATCTTTCATATCAGTCTATCCCATAAGTCGTTATAGTTTGTAGCAATAGAAGATGCTGAGAAGAGGTCATTACTGAAACCACAGTTTAATAAAACACATTTAATAGTAATTTACTTTCTCTCTTGAGATATTAATTAGTTTGTGGTTGTTTATTAAATGTTCTGTTTAGAGATGCCAAGGTTGTTCCTGTTAGTTTTAGTGAGCAGATAGCTCCTTCTAGTGGTTGCTTATGCAGGATTGAAAATTGTAGGTAACAAAGCATAAAATTTTGAACCCAGAATCATTAATTATAACAATGTTTTCTAATATTTTGGGTGATACCTTCCACAAACCTACACAACTAGCCATTCTGATTGAGACTGATGGGAGTTAAGGCCTAGAATATTTGAAATAACCAAATTGCCTACATTTTAGACAATAGGACTTATTTACTTATTTTGATATTCCATTGTTTTCTAACTAAGCCTGCTCTTCTTGTCCATCCTGTTTCTGTGCTTCCTATTATTTCACAGTGATGTTCTCATGGTTAGGTTTGACAAGGTTGAGTCCACTGGTATCAAATCCACACATTCTCAAAGACAGTGAGATTTAAGGAGACTGATGAAAGGATGGTTTTAGGCAAGGTAGATCAGATTAATGCACTATCTTTATTTCACATTAATGGAACTTTCTCATTTAAGTCTTCTTGCCTGTTGTGAGGACACACAGAAATTAGAATGGCAATGCATGTTATCCTAAGACAAGCTCCATAGAAATGTTAAGGACTATACACAATAAGGATGTTGATATAATGCATTCTGACATTTTTTTTTGTCTTCAGGATTCTCCTCTGAAAGCTGTACAGATGCTATGGGTCAATTTAATTATGGACACTTTTGCTTCTCTTGCTCTGGCTACCGAACCTCCCACAGAATCCCTTCTGCTAAGAAAACCATATGGTAGAAACAAGCCCCTCATTTCTCGTACCATGATGAAAAATATTCTGGGCCACGCTGTGTATCAACTCACTCTAATTTTTACCCTCCTTTTTGTTGGTAAGCTCAAATGTCATTTATTGTTACTTTTGCCAGTTACAGATAATGAACTACTTGACTTCTGAATCTGCAAATGACACACAATATGGGATCCCACATAATCATGAATTCATTCAGAGTCCATAATTCAAATAATGACTTCAGGAAATCCAGAAATTCATTCACCCTTTTGTCACCAACATTTTAAAACAAGCTGAAGTTTCAGTAGGGCTTTATTACATGAAGTGGAGATCAGCTACAGCTTCCATTGATTGCATCAAGGTCTTCTTTTCCTTTCACATATTGTCAAAGCTCCACCAGGACAGTGCAATAAATAGCTCTCTAGAAACTCAGCTAGCAATTAAAGTTAGCAGGGAAAGACTCAATGACAACACTCAGAAAAATAAGGTGTTGGTTGCAGATACATTAAACCTTAGTAATGAAGAAAATGAAGTACTGCAGAGTCTAGCAATTCAGTTTATACCATGCAACACTTTAGGGTATAAATGGGCATTTTTTCCCCACCCAGTCTTATGGATAAATGACTTCCTACCACTTGTTTCTTGGCTTTGGATATGGAGATCACGTATGCTATTGAAGAGTCGTGGTAGCACAGTGGTTAGAATGCAGTATTGCAGACTAACTCTACCAATTGCTAGCAGTTCGATCCTGACTAGCTTATGGTTAACTCAGCCTTCCATCCTTCTGAGGTTGGTAAAATGAGGACCCAGATTTTGGGGAGCATTAAGCTGACTCTGCAAATGACTTAGAGAGGGATGTAAAGCACTATGAAGCAGTATATAAATCTAAGTGCTATTGCTGTTTTGATAATAATTCCTGGTTTCAGGTCCTTTAGCTGACTGTATTTACAGGAGTCAGCAAAATATAAGCAGAACAAAAAGGAAGGTTCAAGAATGAGCTTGCAGATTGGTAAGTTCAATGGGACTTTCAAATTTTGTTCCACCAATTCTATCTGTGGCATTTAACTTTCTAAACCGTACATAGCTACATAAATTTAGCTACCTAAAACTGGAGATGGTTGATTCCACTTTCCCCCTTGCTCTCTGCTCTCCTCCCATCCATCTTTCATTATCATGTTGATGCATTCTCATTTTCTTTTTCTTTCTTACTTTTACTGTTTTATTATTTTACTTCTGTTTACATTTCTTTTCATTTCTTCATTTTTATTATTGTAAGCCACCTGGAGTAGTTCCACGGGGAGATGGGCAGCAAATAAGATAAAACTTTCTAAGTCCCACCCAAAGAATTGTACAGTTGTCTACAATGTTTTTGTCCCTGGGAATCAGTAACTTAGTGGTCTTACTCTTTCAGGAGAGAAAGCAACTAATTGGCTTGGCTAAGCACCACAAGTCCCCAGAATATACTGGTCTTGATTTATGTAAGCCCAACTTCATGCAAATGGGAAATACAATGGGACCCAGTATAATTCATACATAAAATGATAACTGGGCTTTGTTTTTCTTTAAAGACATTTCATTTCTCATCCAAGAAGCTTCTTTAGATCTGACTGAATGGTGGAGGATGGAAGGATTTATATTCCTTGCAGTCATCTGATAAATAAATCCCTCCATCCTCCACCATTCATTCAGAACTGAAGAAGTTTCTTGGAGGAGAAGCAAAACATCTTCAAGGAAAAACAAAGTCCAGTTGCCTTTCAAAAAAATCACCTTTGGGGCAACCATGACCTGGATGACTAAGAATCTCCATAGATACATAAAATGATATTTTGTATATACAAAAATGGTAGATAGTGTTATGTATTATACTATGCCTCTGTTGGAAATTGGATTATACAAGGATTAATCAAACAGAATCTTCTTCCAGACTTACTGCCATTATTTCACAATTCATAAAATATAAAAGCTGCAATAAAAGAGAGATGCATTTTCAGATTTATTTATGTATTAAACACATTTATATGATCACCCAGTTACAGTAATTCAGTGCACCTTATGCCACTAAAATTCTCCCCTAAATAAATTATAATGATTGATGATTGAATTTTCTTCCTTCTTCAGTTTGAAAAATAGTTTGTTTATTAATGAATTTTTGAGTATAGTAAAAGAATAATCATATTCCCAGAAGTTCAAAATGAATTCATAATGTACTGTACAAATAGAGTTAACATTTTTTTCTGTTGGAAACATATTCTGGACCCAAGCTAAATCTAATCATGTATATATTTTATATAGTAACATGTGTAAGTGGTTTTGGTTTGGTTTGGTTTTCTCCCCTCAAAATATAAAAAGCTGAAGTGTCAAGAAAATATAGGACAATAGTAGCTAAGAGTTACTTTTGGAAAGAAGAGTTACTTTTGGAAAGCAAGGCTGAGCATATAGGCCTGTTCCTCAGCTCTGGGTTATCCCAAAACTCTAAACGTAACCTTTATTGCAAAGGGAAGCTCAGTGGCAATGACAGGAAAAAGAAAAGAAACATAATCTTGGTTGCCATGGCAGGGGAGGATATATTTCAGTGATAAACAAGTCTGACCTCAATTCTGTGTGATCCTTGTGATCAAGTCACAGGTCAACTCAAACACAATTTTGTTGGTTTTAAGAAAGAACCTGACCATTATCTTAACTCTTAACATCTGGTCTCCTCATCTTTCACCTGATGGGATGATGAAACAGTGCCTAGAATTCCAGTGATTTTAATCCTTTACATTTCTGCCTTATCTTTTTTTTTTTTTTTTAATAAAAGTTTTATTGACTTTAACAACAAATAAAAACACATAAAACATAAAAAATTTCTGCCTTATCTTCATATACAGCATTTAATATGGAGAATCAAAATTTCCTACCACCTCATTTTACTGACAGACCCAACCTACATCTTGAAAATCTGACATAAACATTTCTGTTGACTAGACTCATCCAGTTGCAATATTATTACTTCAGGTGCAAACAAAACTATAAAAGCAATCGGGGGTGAGGTTTGGAACTTTCTATACCAGGGCTGTCAAACGCCCAGCCCACGGGCCGGATGCTGCCCACACTCAGTTTAGAGAAGGGCAAAAAAACCTCCTAATATGTCACGTGATGCTGCCATGATGACATGAATTTGACACCCCTGTTCTATATAAAAGCCAACTTACACATTTTATTTACGCTCATCGTTCATTACCTAGCCATTGCACAATGATAATGCAAATGAGAGAAAATGAACCTCTATTTCAAAAAAAAAATCCTTAGAAAAGCCTAAAACAGATTTTTTTTTTCTTCTCAGCAGATATGTTAATGATGTTGGAAGTTGAAGAAGTTAAAGCCATCACAGTCATTTTTTTTTCCATTTTATTGAGTATCTCTATGATTTTATGAATGCATAATATTTTATTCTTTCAGTGCAGTTTTTAATTATATACTTTGTTTTATTTGTTTTACTAATGTATTGCCTCAACAAAGGTAAAGAGCTATGATCACAATTGAGCCCAGAATTTATGTTGCTAAGTGAGACCTTTTGTTAAATGAGTTTTGCCCCATTTTATGATCTTTCTTTTCATCGTTGTTAAGTGAATCATTGCAGATTAAGTTAATAACATGGTTATTAAGTGAATCTGGTTTCCCCATTGACTTTGCTTTTCAGACGGTGGCAAAAAATGATCACATGACTCCGGCACTGCAACCATCATAAATATGAACCGTGCATCCAATTTTGGATCATGTGACCGTGGGGATTTTGCAATTGTCATAAGTGTGAAAATCCATTATAAGCCATATTTTTCAGCCCTGTTGTAATTTTGAATGGTCACTAAATGAACTGTTATAAGTTGCAAACTATCTGTTCAGTGAAAGAGCTTGTAAACAACCGGTAGTACATGTGGAGTCAAATCTCCACGTATTCAGATATGCTCTTGAAATCTGTTCATTATACACAAGGCTTATTTTGTGTCTTGGCAATTTCACTGTTGAATAGTCCTTTCATCTAGCAATACATTTAACTAATTGAATGTTTTGATTGATTTAAAATATTTTGAGGCTTATCTTCAGGTTTTTAGTCATATGTTCAATTAAGTTATTTGTTTCTCCTTTTTTGCCCTATCTTGTTCTTGGACAAGACTTCTACATTCTTTCTTTTTCAAATGGATTTCTGCTGATTTGTTGAGCACATTTCTGGTACTTCTTGTTTTATGGTATCAATTCTAAATGATTGAGCAAACCCCATTTCCTTTTAGCACTGATAATGTTACCTAGTTTGTTAATGAAACATTGGCAAGAAAACAACCAAGTTCAGAGAGCATCAAGGACGCCACAGTTCAACCCTGGGTTACAAACATTATTTTCTATCACTTCTAAATGAGTTTCTATTGGATCTTAATAAACATGCATCCTGGAGAAATTTAGTGATTCTTATTGCTAATTTTTTCAGCCTTTTTAATACTTCATTTTGTCTTCCATTTCAAAATGATTCTTAGTATTATGATCTGAATGTAATTATTCTAACTCAAATTCTAAATTACTTTTGGAAACAATTAACAATAGAATTTTCAATCACAATTCTAGATGAATTTGTCTTATACTTTCTAGTTAATTAAAGTCTGTGTAGTATTATTTATCTTGTTACAGAATACATTCTAATATGACTTACAGCACTATGCATATTTCCTAACCTCCTTTAGGAAAACTTTTATCAGTGGTATTTTTAGCATCCTGATTTTATCAATTCTGCCAGATTCAAATACAGTATTGGGAGAAAGGAAATTGTGGCCCAGGGACAAAATTTAAATCTGAATGTGATTTTTCAAATGCATAAAATGGTAAATGCAACTCTAATTATTTTACACTTGCTTAAAATAGTAAGTAAGACTTAATGCATATACAGAAATACATGCATTGCATCCTATGTCTGTGAAATCCAGATACATTAAATCCAGGTACACAACATAATCACTTTCATAATTAGAAAGACTCTTAAATTCGAAAATATAATTTTGATACGGTAAAACTTACCCACTGATTAAATATTTAAAAAATATTATAATGCCATTTAATTTGAGTGTTATGCAAATTTACTTTCATTCAGTTTCAATATTATTAGGTGGCATTATGTTTCATGGGTGATGTAGCTTGTAGCTTTTGTGTCCAAAAGCTCGTAAGACAAAACCTCTGGTCCCGGTGACCAATTTTGTGCAGTGGTGATCTAGATGACCTCATAAAGCATGATGATGACTGTGAACAAATTATGTCCTGAATTGAAACTTCAAATGATGTTTTTAAATTCTGTTTATTTTCTGCTTTGACCAGGTGAAAAAATGTTCAAGATTGATAGTGGCAGAAATGCACCACTCCACTCTCCACCTTCGGAGCACTACACCATCATCTTCAATACTTTTGTCATGATGCAACTATTTAATGAAATCAATGCACGCAAAATCCATGGTGAAAGGAATGTTTTTGATGGCATCTTTAGAAACCCTATATTTTGCACTATTGTATTGGGTACATTTGCTGTACAGGTAATCATCTGACAATGCTGAGACAGCCAGATATTATTTGCATGCTTCACTGTATAGTCTTTCTCCCTTTCACACTTTCATCCTATATTATAGTCTTTTTTTAAAAAAAAAAAATCTAAAGATATTGTATAAATCAATTGCTAATTTGGTCATTATTAAAGTTCTTTATATAAATCTGAGCTTTCCTTATTTTTGCCCATCAATTTATTTCCTTTGGGGCGTCATCTGCTTTATGTCTTTTTTCATAGTGAGAAGAGAGTTGTACTGATTGATTGATTTACTTTATTTATTTATTACACAGATAAATAAGGCCACCCAATTCAAACTATGTGACTGGGTGGCATACAACATGACAGCAAATATAAATATATCACATTAGTGGAAGAATATGTAAAGCCATCTCGAATCATATGTGTGTATTTGTTGGGATTTGTGTTGGTGCTATTGTTGTAGAGTGGGAGCAAATTAGACATCTATGTTTGTCATTGGGTCTGTCTCCTTCATTGTCTTCTGTTTCTTGTTGATTGTGAGAATGTTTCATACTGGGTAATTGTCTGTATGCAGGTATAGGCTGTAGCTTATCAATAATACATTTGTTCTATTTTATTGGTCCCAAAGCATGCTGCTATTATTTTCTTTAAGGAAATAGAAAACAAAAATATGAATGTTATTTTTTGGAAGAAAATACAAGAACGGGATTTGTGGTCCTAAATGCATATTTCATTTTATTCTTTTCCTTCTGTAGATAGTAATTGTACAATTTGGTGGAAAACCTTTTAGTTGTTCTCCTTTGGAACTTGACCAATGGATGTGGTGTGTATTTATTGGATTAGGTGAACTTGTATGGGGGCAGGTAAGGACCATTTTCTTTATATTCATTAGAAAATCATTTATATTTTTTAGATTTTATATATATATATATGGATCTTTGGTTATTCGGGTTTTCTCCCGCGTAAGAGAAAACCCGGGAGAAAACCCGAATAACCAAAGATCCACATACAAATACCCGCGAGAACCTCAGAAAACACACACACACACACACACACACACACACACACATATATATATATATAATCTAAAGGGAATGCAGAAACACAAGTAGCATTTTCTACAACACCTGAAAGCCAACACACAATTTTCTGGGTCATACAATCTCAGGAAAGATGCAACTACTTTAAAGTGTTGCAAACAATATGCTTCCAATTCCTTCTTTTGAGACTAAATTTGAAGTATTGCTCAGATCATGGATTCATCGATTACACAGAGACATGGTTCATTCAGTATTCCTAGACAGTAATTCCTGAAGCCAACCATATGGTCAACAAAATGGCTTCTCTTCAATGTCCCTTTCTTTCACTTTTACTTTTTACCTTCCCATGTCTACAAGGAAGAGTATGAAACATGGGTAGGAATGAGTAGCAATGGGTAAGTCTCACCCAATTCTGTTTGGCATTGATCCTGATTTCTTTTTTAATTTAGCATTTCTTTTAAAAAGAGAGGGGGGGATGACACTCCCCCTGCACCTTTGTGGAAGCTAGTAATGATGGACACTCCCTTTTTTTGGGCATCTGCACCCAAAGGGATGATTGGTTCTCAGTCTTTTAACCCAACTTTAGTCTTATCCTAATCCACTATCTTCTATTCCTAATTCATTGAAAGGGATTAAAACGGAGAAGTCTGCTTTAAATGCTTTCAGGTTAATATAATTTCTCAGATAAGTCACTGTGTATCAATTTTTTCCTAATGTATCATTTGTACTTTTTGTATGCTGTAAATTTTCATCTCCTGCTGCAAACTTTGTCTCTTGGCATAATTATAATGTTTATTTTAGGTCATTGCAACCATCCCAACCAGTAGGTTAAAATTTCTAAAGGAAGCAGGAGGGCTTACATTAAAAGAAGAAGTTCCCGAGGAGGAGATGAGTGAAGATGTAGAAGAGATTGATCATGCAGAGAGGGAACTTCGCCGTGGACAAATCCTCTGGTTCAGAGGGCTTAATAGAATCCAAACTCAGGTATGTTGGACAAAAATATTCTCCAGGAGAACAATGACAATAACGATAATCATGCAGATGCAAACTGTAGGCTTAAATCAACTTTACCCAGTCTCAGGTATATTGCATTTTAATTCTATTATCCTCAATTAGAATATTAGTTCAGTACAGGCCAACAGATTGTTTTTTTTATTTTTCTGGAAGTTACTGTAACAAATCCTATATAAATTACTACGTAATTCTGCTTGCATAAAGTCAGAATATTATAGTTCTAAACCAGGGGTGTCAAACTCAATTTCATTGAGGGCCGCATCAGGGCTGTAGTTGACCTTGGGGGGGGGGGGGCATTGACTGGGTGGACATGACCAATTTGACGCTATTTCCCAAACTGCTGGCATGTTTTCTTTTTGCATTGAGTAGACCGGACCAAAGCCAGGCTGCCCGATCTTTCCTCTTTGCACTCAATAGAACAGGACCACCCACAGGCCAGATCCGACTACATTGCGGGCTGGATCCGCACCGGGGCCTTTTGACACCCCTGTTCTAAACAGGGTGTTTCTCCAATCTATTTTCATTTTTCAAGTAACACATTCTCAATTTTTCAATTGTGAGCTATATTTTTAGACTCTCGAAAATATGTCAGTGAAACCTAAACTACATAGGCTAAGAAAACATTTTCCATGTGTTTTTATGCTGCTGCTTTCTGTTAGCTTAAGGTTTTATATTCCATTAATTCGTTATATTGTTTTACAAACATAAGGGAAAAAACATTGCCTCAGCATTATATGTGAATAGGTAAAAACATACAGAAATGTGTGGATTAAATATTATAACAAACTTTTTAGCAAACTGCACTATCAAATCTCAACATATATTCAAATCATTGATTTCTCTGTACAGGGTTCTTATCATTGCAGAGAAAGTATAGAGTTAACACTAAAAACAGACGTTTTTGAAAAAGCACACTCTTAAAATGCCATGAAGGAAGGATATTTGTAAGGTCAAACATGATTTTAGGTTAAGTGATTCCATCTTAGAGCTTTATTTCTTCAGACCATGTTAAGCTGTGTTACAGTAAGCGCAGCCTCATTTTTGTTCTGTGACAGACTTTCTTTTAAAAGAAAGAATATATATGGTAGAAAATAAAATTCACATCAGCCCAGTGCATTCAGTTTGCTCCTGTCTGTGAAAATCATAAATTAAAAACAAGAGAAGTTAGTATTAGATGGAGAGCAACACATAGGCAGATAAATCTACATTACTTGCTAATTCAATAAAAAGCTGCTAATTTAAATTAAATCAGTAATTTACTAGCAATTTTTAGGACAGCTTTTTTTCCAAAATGTATTCCCAGGGAGAGGCTATTATCTACCTTGAGTTTCCTCTAAATGTGGATTATTTTCTTCCTGATGGTTGCAGGAGGACTGTTGTCTGTTGAGATTTCTATCAGGATGTCTTTCTGGTTGTGGTGAGTGTAAACAACAGAGCCAACCCTCCACTTAGTTCCTCTCGTAGATTTAAAAATAGCCTTTAGTTCTTTTGTATGTCTTCATCTTCATGATCCATGGAAAATTCTTCCCTTCTTAACTGTTTAAACCAAAATAAACAATAATTAAGCTTTCTTGCTAACCAAGACATTTCTCTTTTTACTTAGATGTAGATACATTTGTGCCCTTCTCTTTTTGTGTCAATTTGCAATCAGTGAAGAATTAAGAAAGAGTTTTAAAAATAGTTTTGGTGTACAACTGAACAAAAAAAAGTGTATTTGGGTTACAGTTATTTGAGTATTTGAGTTAACAAGAGTGATTAGGAAACCTTGCTGTGTTTTGGTAGAAATTTATTGACATCATCCAAAGCTTTATGGCCTCTGGAAACATGGAGAAGATAGAGCACCTCACCACATTCTTTGTATTTTTTAATGTACTAGACATACTTTGAAGAGAGAGAAGGTAAAATAATTGGACACATATTCCTTTGTTTTTCGTCTCTGAACTTCTCAATCTCAGTTTTATTCCATCTCTTCCATAGAATTTACAAAAAAAAACAAAAAACCAGAAGACAATGGATTGTTGGATCAAAGAACAATCTCCTTTCTCCACCTATATTTTTCACCTGTAGGATCTGTATAAATTTTTAAAACAAAGAAATCATGTTATTATATTTGCAAGAAAGTAACAATTCAACTTCTCTTTCTCATAAACATACCCAGGTACAGTGATGGAATATGACAACATAGAATCTGATGGTTAATATAGTAGGTGCTGTTATTTGTTTTGCCTTAATTTGCCCAGTTGAAAGTGATTTTTCTTCTTCTTCAGTGTTTACCTCAAACTATAAACTACCAGATTGAAGCCACCTTCTTGGCTTTGTTGTTGGCCAATGACCAGAAGTCATTATCGGTACATATTTCTGGTAGTAGCTGATATATCAGCAGATGAATCGGGCTGTGTATTTCTCCACATTCATACAACATGTTGTTATTCACTAAGAACCTCCACTTGAACATCTTAGTTTTACACTCCAACTGTTAACTTATTCAGGGTCCTCTAAGTCAGAGGTCGCCAACCTTTTGGACCTCAAGGACCACCAAACTCATACTTTTAAATCCCAAGGACCACTAATTCGATTTTTTAAAAAAACTAATATATGTAATGTAATTTTTTTTATTTTATACACACACACACACACACATAAACACACACACACTTATTTAATTATAACAAAAATCTAAATGCTTAATGATAACAAAATAAAACATTCCGGGCTGGAAGCCTCCCTCCACCTGGCACCTTCCAAAGAGACACAAGAGCGGGTGGTGTGTGTGTGTGTGTGTGTGTGTGTGTGAGCTGAGATGCCTCAGGACAACTACCGCTGGGAGAAGCAGAGGCAGAAAGGGGCCTTGCTGTCCTTGGGGGGCAGTGCCCCTCGGCCACCACTCCAGGGGCTTTTCAGCAGGCATCTGCCTACAGAAGGATTGCTGCCCTCAGTGATTAATTGGGGGGAGGGGAGGGGATGGGGAGAAAGTGGGAGCTCCTTTCAGATCCTGGGTGGAAGATTGAGAGAGCTCAGATCTGCAGCCAAGGAAAAGCTGGGGGGGGCTCTTCCAGCCTCACCTGGAGACAGGCAAGGAAAGGTGTCCCTGGGGGCACTTTGCTCGCTTTAGCACTTCGCTGCCAAACCCAGCCACAGCCAATGATTATTTGGGGGCGGGGGGGGAGAGAGAGAGAGAAAGCATCTGTCGCTTTACCAGAGGAGGAAAGGAGGCGAAACAAAGTTCACTCTTTCACCGAGACCTACAAAACGCCAATCTATTGCGTTCTAGGAGTTCTTCGAAATCACCAAATGCTCCCACTTGCAGTTCTTGTGCCTCCTGGCTCTTTGAGGGACCCCAGAGTCAGGTCCCTGAGATGAACACTCCAACCAGCTCCCACACACAACAGCAACAACAGCCCCCTCTCCCAGTGCCCACTGTTAGCTTTCCCCATTAGTTCTCTAGCTTTGAATTGCTCCCATCTCTCTCTCTTTTCTTACCCCCTCCCCTCCCCACACCCACATGTAGGCAGCCAAGGAAAGGGAGACAGAGCCGTGCACAGCTCTCGGCTCTTCCAGCCCTCGCTGCCTCTCCCAACATCGAAGCCTCGGAGATGCAGGCAAAGCCGCCACAGTGGTAGTGCCCTGATTTGCTTACTTCTCCACTACTGCCTCCTCCTCCTCCAGCACAACCTTCTCTGGGTAGGGCGATTCTTAACTAACCGAGCATGCTAAGGCAACTTAGGGTGCTACCGCTGTGGTGGCTTTGCCTGCATCTCCAAGGCTTTGATGTTGGGAAAGGCAGCGAGGACTGGAAGAGCCGAGAGCTGCACACAGCTCCATCTCCCTTTCCTTGCCTGTCTGCACGTGGGCACAGGGGGAGGGGGGAGGAAAGAGAGAGAGGCGGGAGCAATTCACAACTAGAGAACTAATGGGGAGAGCTAACAGTGGGCACTGGGGGAGGGGATTGTTGTTGCCACTGCCCACCATGTGTGGGAGCCGGTTGGCCCGTGCATCTTGGACCTGAGTCCGGGGTCCCTCGAACAGCCGGGAGGCATGAGAACTGCGCAGCCCAGATAAATTGCATTTGGGAGCCATTTCTTCTGCAGCCCACCAAAAATTTTCTATGGCCTACCAGTGGGCCACAGCCCACTGGTTGATGAACGCTGCTCTAAGTAGTATAAGGAAGATCAGATTCTTCAGCCATATCCTCCTTTAACGTTATTCCTTGTTGAGGTCTCCTTCCTCCATCTTTTAATTTGATTTTGTTCTTGTGTACCCTGAAGCATGTTTTTCTTGCCATAAAGCTGTTCCTAAATCGGAATCAACAAGCTTGTCTGTTCAGCGGATATCCGCTCAGAGGAAATTGCGGATCATTCTGTTTTTTAAAAAGTGATACTGAATTGTTTTATGATATGATATGTGTAAATAGAGATTTCTTTCCTACATTGATCTGAATAAAGTTATGGATGATTGGTAAAATTGTGCTGTAGCCAATATGTTCTGGCAGCTGTGAAGTGGGACATTCCATTTTTATGAGATTTCCTAGGGTATTTCCTCAGAGAGAAAAGACAACTGGTAAATAGTCCATAGTTATTTTAGCCATAAACAAAAGATCAGCCTTGTTGGGCTAAATCCAACTATCTCTAAGTCATTTTTGCAGGCTAGAGAGTCCACACAATTTGATGATCTAATTAACTGAGGACTGTAAATAGACTCAATAATGTAGCTTTAGCTGCTTCCCCAGAAGAAAGCCAATTAAAGTTGGACAATAATTATTCTTTGAAAATAGGTGGAGTCAGTTATTTGGAGTTTCACCTAAAATTGCCTCTATTGGAGAGTGTATCATGATCCTGAATTAGAATAGTTTAATCCAGAAAATATATTTAATTTTAATTTAAGAGTGTTAATTTATTTAGTTAGTAAGCATTTCTTAATATTAAGAATGCAAGACCCTTTGAGCCAAACTCATTTCATAGTGCATGGTGTTCATCCATGTGTTCCTTTGTGTAAATTAGCTTTTCTATTGTAATTTGAAGTAATAAACAAGTCATGAAGCAAGCATAAAACATTGTACAAGATTATCTTGATTAATATAGTTCATGTTGATAATATCTAAAATATTGTATGTTTAGTTCCATTCTATAGTTGAGATTTTAGGTGTTCTCTTCATTACAACAGCCCCTTAAGTTTTTTGACAAAGTGTTAACATTTGGTTATGAAGCACAAAGAACTGTTATCAGGATAAAAATGCTCAGTGTAGATATTGAGAATATAAGTTATAATGGATCAACTCTTTTAAAGTTATTTTAGATGTTACATTATTTATTTGATACACACACAGTTTTTTGTATTGTAATGACAAATCTGTTGCATTCTTTTTTAAAACTTCAATAATGCTAATAACATATTTTCATTTTCCAAAAGGGAGAGTTGCTGATTGTTAAATTGATTAAGTAGATCTAACTAAAAATCATTACTACAAAATATAACCCCATGTTCATACAACACTATTTTGCAGGAATTATTCTTCTTGGGTTGTGAGAAACAAACATTTTGGAGAATGTTTCAAATGGTTCAGATTGACTTAATTCATACTAAAGATTGCTAATGTCAGAAGCAAACTGCAACAGAAAAGAGGTTTGCTGCCATCCAAGAGTTAGAGAATATTTGCTGGCTTCCTAGATTAAATGGCAACTGAAACATTTCTTTTCTGAGATTCAGAAGGAGATTTGCTGACATTCTAGCAAATGCTTGGGAAAGAGGGACAATACATCTATTCTTTAAAAAAATCATGGATATCCAGGGGATAGATAGCAAATGATGACAAGTAGGTGATGATGTAATCATGCAAATTCCTATCATCACATGTGAGTTATCATTTTGCTGTGGACACCACTGATGTCAACCTTGGTGCAGGGGAATGGAAGTGATTAAATAGGTCTCATATTGGATATTTATGGCACAAAGGCATATTTGCAAGACTATATATCCAATAGGAATTTTAAAAGAATTGCCCAATCTTTCTCCCCTGGCTGCTTTGTTCTCCATCCGTTTCAAAATTCAATGTGAAAAATTCAAGCTATTATTTTTTCTATATTTTGATTTTAGTCTTTTTATTGTTTGCCTTTTTGTCTTAAATTTTGTATAATGCCGGCATGGGTATAATATTGAGACAGAACATTGATGTAAAGTAGATGGAATTATTTTGATTTTTTATCTGGTTGATTTGTTTTGATTCTGGATTTGGTAAGATATTTTTCCCATGATGTCACCCTGTTTTAATACTTACACTACAGTTCTTACATGTTTCATGTCTAAACATGGTGATAAATGTCTCTGGTTTTTAGCATATCTTTGAAAGGTGCAAAAAAAAAGTTGTGGTATTAACTGCAGTTCTTGAATCTCTAGTTGCCTTTTCACAGATAGTTGTTTCATTTGTTACCAATGCTTTCCATGCCTTTATTCATTGTAATAATAATAATAATAATAATAATAATAATAATAATAATAATAATAAT